GAAGATCTTACGTGTGATAATTGGTGATAGTGGTGATAACTGAGAAGGCATTGTGTATTGGGTGTGTAATTCAGTGATAATTGTATAGTAGCTCCCTTGTTATACTGTAAATAAGTGAAGACTACTGAAGATAGCGTGAAGAGATTAGTATGTAGGATTTGTAAATTGTGTAAAGCCGCAACAGTGTTATAATCAATTGTAGTTACGACTTGTAGGTTGTTAATAAAACCAATTAACATTCCGAAAAGCGTCTTCAGTAGCCCAAACACGTCACAATACTTTAGTAAACACACATGGTATTTAGGAAGGCAGATGAGTCCACTTGCCTCTTCACAAAAAAGCTTCACAGTTTCTTCAAAATTGCATTTTTACGTTCAAAAACAAGTACAGATCCTGAGACTTCTATCGATGAATAAACGTGCCGTCTTTTCAGTTTTTAAATAAAGGCTCTACAGCAAAATTTTATTTATTTTCATCAGCGGTACTTACTTACTTACTTACTCATGGAGCTTAACCCTTCTGGAGGAGCCGCCAATTCTGCAGCTACTCAATAATTTCCCAGCATGTTATGGAACCCGAAGGTTCATTACCGTGTTCGCAAGAGCCCTCCAATGGTCCCTATCCTGAGTCGGATCTATCCAATCCATACCATCCCATCCTATCTCTCTAAGATCCATTCTAATACTGTCCACCCACCTACGCATTGGTTTTCCATGTGGTCTCTTTCTTTCTGGCTTTCCCACCAATATCCTATACGTATTCATCGTCTCCCCCATTCGTGCTACATGACCTGTCCACCTCATCCTCATTGACTTGATCATTCTAATTATACTTGGAGAAGAGTACAAGTTATAAAACTCCTCATTATGCATTTTTTTCCAACCTCCTATCACTTCATCTATCTTCGGTCCAAATATTTTCCTCAACACCCTGTTCTCAAACACCCTCAGTCTATGTTCCTCCCTTAATGTCAGAGACCAAGTTTCACGCCCATACAAAACCACAGTTTTGTATACTCGTATTCTAATTTTTATGTTTTTGGACAACAGACGAGAAGACAAAAGGTTCTGGACTGAACGGTAGCAAGCATTACCCGAGTTCAATCGCCTCTTAATTTCCTCCTGAATCAGGTTTTGATTTCTTATCGTCGTTCCTACATATCTGAACTGTGCCATGTTTTCAGAACGTCTGTTTTCTATCGTTATGTCATGATTTCGCCCTGCATTTTGGTGACGAGACACCAATATATACTGTGTTACTGCTAGAGCAACCTAGACCTACTTGCTTCAATTAAAGTTTGTTTTTCTTTATGGTATCTACATTATGACCCAGTAGATGCACATCATCGGCACAGACCAACAGCTGATGTGTCCCGTTTAATTTAGGTACCACCTGGTTTTCATGGACCTTCCTAATTGCATATTCTAAGGCAAAGTTGAAAAGCAGTGGCGATAAAGCATATCCTTGTTTTAGACCATTCTGGAGAGAAAATTTATCAGATGTTTACCTGTACGGGCTTTACTATATATTTCGTTTAAACACATTTTAATCAGCCTAAGTAGTTCCATGGGTATCCCAAACTTTATTACAATATTAAAGAATCTCCTTGTTTTAGACCATTCTGGATAGGAAATTTATCAGATAAATCTTTACCTACACGGACTTTACCATACGTTTCGTTTAAACACATTTTAATCAACCAACTAGTTTCATGGGTATCCCAAACTGTATTAGAATATTGTACAATATTTCCCTCCTAACTGAATCTTATTTCTTTAAGTCTACAAATAGCTGATGTACCATCTTATCGTACTCCCATTTTTTCTCCAATATCGGACGAATGCAAAAGATCTGATCTGTAGTTGATCTGTTACGTCGAAACCCACACTGATGGTCCCCAATAATTTCATCTATATATATGGACTTAACCTTGAAAGAAGGACACTGGACAACATTTTATATGAAGTTGATAGCAGTGATATCCCCCGATAATTTCTACAGTCAGTTTTATCACCTTTCGTGTAAACTGGTGCAATAATAGACTCCTTCCACTGAGCAGGCAATTTTTCCTCATGCCAAATAGAAGTAATTAGATTGTGGATCTTCGACCGTAACATTTCGCCTCCCGCTTGAATAAGTTCTGCCGGAATTTGATCACTGCCTGGCGATTTGTACCTTCATGTATTATAGGTGTTTCTTGTACTCTTGCAGATGGTTTGTGCTGTGCTTGGCTTGTACACCCTATCTGATGTTGGTACAGGTGTCTGGAGGTAGGGACTAGCTCTATCGACTGGGCCCAACTGAGCGGGTTTTACCTGAAGACGGAGGCAGAATCCAGTTGTTTTGAAATATAAACATGACGGTGATTTAGATAAAAAAACAGGGCAGTGAATAATTCAATTCAATTCTTTATTATTTATGTGCCAAGTCAACAGCCGTAAGGCCAATTACTGACTTAGCACAGTGAAGATGAAAGTAATGTCCAGAAACATATTTGTACTAATGTACCATTCGTCTCCAGGTAAAACCTACTCAGTTGGGCTCAATCGATAGAGCTAGTCCCTACCTCCGGTCGGAGACAATCCAGTCTCCAAAACGTTGTGCTAAAATATGTTTAAGATAAAACAGGACGATGAATAATGTCCAGAAACACAGTACAAGGTGTGTCCCAAAAGTCATGAAATATATTTCTTTCCCGCGCCCCTATTGGTCGGAGCGCGCTGGAACCGGTTGGGTTGTGGGGGGGGAGGCCTTTAGCTTTACAGCGAGCCAAAAGTCAGTCTGTTCGAGCATCGGAGGCGTCAGTATCGCTGATTTAGTGCACCTGTGTTTTGTGACCACGTCACGGCGCGCGATGGCGGATACTTTCGAACAACGTTGGGAGGTCAGGTTCTGCACAAAGCTCAACAAAAAAGCTGCCGAAACTCACGAACTGCTTAAGCAAGCCTACGGGGAGTCTTCTCTATCATATGTGCAAGTTACAAGGTGGGTGAAGAAGTTTAAGGAGGGCCAGGAAGGAGTGGAAGATGACCCCCGCTCTGGACGGCCATCAACAAGCCAAACCGATGAAAATTTGACTCATGTGCGTGATTTGTTGAATACTGACCGTCGAATGACTGTCCGGTTGTTAGCCGACACTCTGAACATTCCAAAAACCGTTGTGCATCGCATCTTTACGGACGAATTGAACATGCGAAAGGCGTGCGCTAAGCTGTTCCCCAAATTGTTGATGGACGAGCAAAAGGCCAATCGAGTGTTGATCGCGAGTGAATGGAAGGAACGTGTGGAAACTGAGCCTCGTTGAGAATGCACTCAAAGGACGCCATTTTGAAAGCATTCAGGCTATCCAAGCGGCCGTGACAACAGCTTTAAATGAGGTTCCCGTCGAGGCCTTTGAGGGGGCGTACCGGGCATGGGAGAGTCGGTGGAAAAAATGTGTAGATGCTCATGGACAGTACTTTGAAGAATATTAACACTTTGTACCGATATCATCAATAAATTTAAAAAATATATATATATATATATGTCATGACTTTTGGGACATACCTTGTATGTGTACTATTGTACCATGAATCTATGCCCTCGATCACCTTGGTCCGTCCAGACTAAAACCGAATATAAGAGAAATATACATAATATAGCCACACGGAGTCGTCTATTTACCCCAGACCTAGAAAATGACAACTCACGTAGCACTGCGAGACAACCCAAAACGCAATGTTATCGCATTATCTAGCCAAATAACAACACTAAATGTGGCAGCAGCAAGCCCAAACAAATATCACACCAAATAAACTCTCGTTACAACCTCCCCAAATGGGGGAAAAAAAATATTTATACCGTTGCAACAAGAAAGTCCCTTGCCCTCAATGGCTGGCGCGAAGAGTCCCAACACAGCCTGGAAATCCCTGTCGAAATAGAATTCAGCGACCTACTTCGCCCAACCACCGAAAAGCAAAGCATGTTCTCCTAAGTCACCCCACACCAATGGAGGTCATCCTTTCTAAACAAAGGAGGAAGGGGAAATCACGTGGCACATGGAATTACGAGATAACGGTAAACGAGTGACGACGACACGGTTGCCTCGTGGGGGGGGCATGAATGATGGGAGGATACCGGACCGAAATGGTCAAATCCTGAGCCATCCGAACATAAACATGGCTCAGCTTCACATTCCGGCCTCTTTGGTCCCGAGGAAACAGCCCCTTGTACGCACCGGACAGGAGGCTGCGTGAACCTCGAAGCCGGTCTGGATCCTGTGGAGAGGAGAACAATCTTCGTTCCTGCCAGAAATCGAGCCTAGATTCTTCGGCTGTCAAGTTCGTAGCCCGTTGGTAGTCCGACTAGCTTTCAGTTAACCCTTCAAAACCGAGTGGCAACTACAAGGGAGGGTCAGTAAATAGGTCACAAATGGAAACACGAAACATTTTCTCACGTGTTGGGTAGGTCACGCGACAAATAACTTCACGCCGTATTGGATATAGTCAATTTTTTCCACTCGCTCTCACAATTACGCAATTTACAATCTCACAATTAGTGACATCGGCAGTATCACAAATACTTCTCCTGTTTCCATTCACTCCGACGAATACTGGACTGCAACTGACTGGTTACTCGGCGACTTCACGATCCACACTGTGTCACTCCTAATCACACACTCTGCTCACATACTGCTCAGCCGGATTTTTATGCCGTTTCTTGTTGTCTCGTGTTACCAGCGGTGTCCCCTTGTTACGTTACAGTGGGAAGTGCTGTTACGTCACCGCGGGGGAGGGGGACGGAGTGTTGACTGGCCTGTTACCGTAGCAGCGGCAGTTGCTCCGATGTTGTTACGTCAACAACAACAACAACAAAACGGACAACAGAACGCTACCCTTCGGTAATACACTCCTCAAGTACGGTCCCCATTTTGACTACTAAAGCCAGCCTCTGAACATGCTCATGCTCATGTTGTCTCTCAGACCACTAAATTTAGCGTGCACTTCTGTCAGAGTACTTACATAACTGATCATGGGCACATTGCGGGACTGAGATACGATGGATTCGACGAAGCAGGATCCTTCGGGACCTATGAAAGCCGCCACGCCGTCACACAGCATCTCCGTGATGACCAGGGTCGCTCGAACACGATCCCCTTTCGTGTCGTTCCATCGCAAGACCAGCTCGATGTTCTTCAGGATGCTGGGATTGTTGTTCACTTGCTGCAGGGCCATGGACAGCGCCCCGGACACAGCCAGCCCCTGTCGGTCCTTGAGTGTGCCCTGCCAGCAGCACAAAACTCAAGTTACTGGCAGCTTTGCAAGTTGCAGCGAAGCCTGGTACAAAGCTACCAACATTTCTACCCTGAAGATGGAAGCAGCGTGCTCCTGCGAAATGACGTTAACTGTTTTATCAGACTACATAGGGTTACATCCCAGAAAAGAGCAATCTTCGTGTTGGAATTAAGGTTCTTAAGCCGGTAACTATGAAGATTACTGAGTACGGTCTTCTGAGTTGTAATGCCGTGTAGTTCAGAGGTAGCCTGATGTTCGAAGGCACGTACTGCCTCCAACTTCACGGTGACAGAATAACCCAAGTAAGATACAGGCGGCAAGCCCAGGCAAAATAAATAAACTCAGATTGCCAGCTACTTCTGGTAGTTTCTTGCTTGCTTACTCTTCGACCCTGAAGATGGGGGCGATATATCCCTCCCAAGATACGAGCTGTCTCCGAACCCAGGAGACTCAATACCTCAGTAATTTTCAGTCACTGGAGAGGTAATCACAATTTCATATATTGTGGGATTTACACTGCATGAATGTCATAACTATTACCACTGCTGCCACTACTGACATGATTACTGCCACTACCACTACTAAACCTTCTACTACTATACTCGTATTATTATCACTACTACTACTACTCTTAATCCTATTACTATTATATTACTGCTATTGCTACTACTACTACTGATAATACTACTGCTACTACTACGACTGCCACCATCCTTACTATCATTACTACTATTCTTACTAATACTACTGCCGCTACCACTACTAACACTACGATTCAATTTGTAAGAGGCCGCCTGGGATGATTTGTACTTTTTTTTTTGGGTGCTGCACAGTGAAAGTAGCGGTTATGTTTCTATTGTTGCTGTATAGTAATTACACTGCCAGATACTTTTGCGTTTTGGTATTGTTATGTTTCCGGGGGTTCTGTTATGTCCTGTTCATGGAATCTCGTGTAGTGGTACTGTTATTTTTCTGCGGTTTCTGCTATGTCCTAGTCATGTTCAAGGATGTGCTACTGCGGATGAAACTGCCATATGTTTCCTCATATGTCATGCGCTACCGAAACGCCGCCTGTGCATGTACCGTCTGAAACTGAAAAACGCTAAGGAAGAAAGCAATGTACTTACCGTCAAGGCGGCCAGATATCCAATCGTGAGGGTCTTCTTGGTGTCCTGCTGGTCCGCTGGTAGCCCGGGGCGACACATAAGCAGGACGAGCACGAGGTGACAGCTCAGCAACTCGGCCAGCCTGGGCGCCCCGGGGCGCATGGCCACCCGCCGGCTATGAGCCCTGCGCTACCTGCAACAAAGATGCACCCATGTTGGCTCTGAGATTCTTAGAGCGCTGCCCATGAAACCCTCTGTCTTCCGGGATATAACACCGTGTAAACAGCTGAAAGTTACCTGCTACCTGCTTCGTGCTAGTTTCTTGTTTGGCTTCTTCGATCCTGAAGATGGAGTCGGTATGGTCCTCCGAAACGTCGTTTGGCTTTAAACGGTATAAACAGCATTGTATCCCAAAACGCTTTACAAGTGTCCCGGTTCTCAGCCCTTTGCCGGACTGTTCTAGCGATATGACACTTTGCTCTTGCATGACTGACCGCTAATACAAATAGCGCCATTAAACATCCGCAAATTACAGCCATATTATACCGCCATAACTTTGTTTCCGAAGATATGTCATCCACATTCACTTCTCAGGAATGCAAATGGCAAAAATTGATCACACTTCCTCATCAAAATGTTATTTGCATTTCTTATTTCGTTTGTTAGGGAGGCTCCTAAAATATGTCGGCTAGTAAGTCGAAATATGTATATTATATAATCATATGATTATTTTAATGGGGGCACGCGGTAGCGTAGTTGGTTGAGGCACTATGTTTCAAGCCGGAAGATCATGGATTCGATTCCCGATGACGTTATTGGATTTTTCTGTTGACTAAATCCTTGCAGCCGCACTATGGCCCTGGGGGGCGACTCAGCCTCTAACAGATGAGTACTAGGAATCTTCCTGGAGGTAAAAGGCGGTTCGCGCGTAAGGCTCACCTCACTGCCATCTGTGAGCCGATTGTCTAGAAAATGCGGGAGTCTTGATGTCCCACAAACTTATGGGCTAGCGTTACCTTCTTTTATTTATTTCAGTGAAATTCAGTAATAATGTGATCTATTAAAATGTACTTTATTTTCATAAAACTATGTACGAATGTAAATAATACTTTGAGGTATGTAAGCTATTTTGAAGAAATATGTATGACCAATTCTTTTAAAAGTATGGCATCAAACTTCCATTACGAACATACTAATTCTCTGGAGCTGAGTAATTTTTCAGAAACTGCCAGTCGCTCAGCTTCTCAAGAATTTTCCATTTTATAGGACCCGAAGGTTCATTACCGAGTTCACAAGAGCCATCCATTGTTCTCTATTCTGAGCCAGACCAATCCAGTCCATACCACTTCATCCTGCTTCTATGAGGTATGGTAAAGTTGTCCCTGAATTTACTAATTAAGCACTACGTCATGAAGACGTATGGGGGCAGTGGATGAATAGATCCACGTTTTCTTAACCTCGGCACTAGTTGGGGGTGAGTGGTCAGCTTCAAGCCTCAACCGTCTTAACCCCGTTAACAATCGGATAGGGAGCTGGGTGGGCCCCACAGCTGGTCTGGACGAGATGGAGGAGTGAAAATTGTTGACCCCACCAGAACTTCAACTCCGACCCCTTCTGTTGTCAAGCCCGTAGCCAGTCGCTATGCCGAGTGCGCTACCCCGGATCTTCTGTTCCTATAAGATACATTCTAATATTAGCCTCCCATTTACGTCTATGTCTTATTAGTGGTCTCCTTCCTTCAATCTACCCATCTATGGCTCTACAGTCCTTTTGTTGGACCCTGACCGCTTTTTCAGTTTCTTAATCCCATACAGAGTCGGCAGGACTTCTTGGACGGGGGATCAGCTGGTCGCATGGCCGCTACATACACACAGGACAACACAAAACAGAATGAGTGCACACAGACATCCATGCCTTTAGTTGGATTCGAACCCACAATCCCAGCGTTCGAACGAGCGAAGACAGTTCATGCCCTAGACCGCGATGCCAATGTGATCGGCCTCTGTCCTTCTAGCTTGTGTAAAAATAATAAAACATGGCCACGGTGCGAAAACTCACGAACCACTACGGCCAAGGGCTCTTGTCGTGGTAGACATTGACTTGTGATGTTTATGCGGATTGCCTTTCTTAGGCGCACAGCCAGCAGACTGCAGACATCTGCAAAGGCTAATGACACTTAGTAAACACTGCGGGCCGAGCATTCTTTGTCACTGTAATGACAAATTACTTCGAAGAAATGCATACAAGGGGCGCGCCGCACACACCATTCAGGGCCAACACAATTCCGATTTAATAACTGGTATATATTGAGGGGCTCCGGTCACGGTAGCCGAGCGGTCTAAGGCATGTACTGTCTTCGCTCGCTTGGAAACCGGGATCGTGGGTTCGAATCCCACTCAGGCCATGGATGTTTACTTTGTGTGTGTGTGTTTTTTTTCTGTGTTTGTCTACAGGTAGAGGCCTTCCGACGTGCTGATCACCCGCCCAAGGAGTCCTACCGAATGTGTAAGATCAAGAAAAACCGAAGTGAACGGAGAAGTTAATGGAGGTAGGCCCAGGCCCACTGGGGCTGTAGTGCCAAGGGGAAAAATATATATATATACTGAGGATGTTTGAGAACAGGGTGTTGAGGAGAATATTTGGACCTAAGAGGGAAGAAGTGACAGGAGGTTGGAGAAAAATGCATAATGAGGAGCTTCATAGCTTGTACCCTTCTCCAAATATAATCAGAATGATGAAGTCAAGGATGAGATGTACTGGGAATGTAGCACGGATGTGGGTGCAGGAGGAATGCATATAGGATATTGGTGGGAAAGCCAGAAGACACCACAAGGAAGACCATGACGTAGGCGCGCGGATAATATTAAAATGGATTTTCGAGAGATAGGATAGGATAGTATGGACTGGATTGATTTGGCTCAGGATAGAAACCAGGGGAGGGCTCTTGTGAACACTGTAACCGTCTCAAAGAAACCAGCCTCCGGAGTTTTCGCGTCCGCCAGCAGAACAGGCGAAGTGCATGCCATGACTAGAGTGCCTTCTCTCATGGGATACTGGTTGCTTTGGTGACAGGGACGGGGAGTTATGGATTACATGATCACTTTAACACAAAGAACAGTATGTATTTCTGGTGACATGACACACGTAGATACGCGTACATCTGGAAAGTTATACTAATCCTTCACTAAATTGCCACATAGTCCTATTACTCTTCCGTCGACCACTATATTTCTTAATCAAATCCATCATCTCCTCCAAGTAGATCTCTCTCGCCGCAATTATCACTTTAAATTTTGTAGCTACCTTCACTAGACCACAGTTGTCGCTACATAACTCTCCAACTTTCTGTGTGACTGTCTAACCATGAACCTTATCTCACTCACTAACTAACGCCGCGCCATAGCTCAAGCGGTTAGTCGCTGGCTTCCCACTACGGCGGCCCGGGTTCGATTCCGGGTCTGGTAAAGTTGGATTTGTAGTGGACAAAATGGCGCTGGGGTGGGTTTTCTCCAAGTACTTCGGTTTCCCCTGCCAATCTTCATTCCACCAAATTCTCCATCATCATAATCACTCGGGGCAGGCTACAATAGGCCAACTAGTGGCCGCCGTGCCGAGTGGACCCAGTTGGACCCCCCCCTTAAGCGAATTAAAAAACTAACCAACCAACCAACCAACCAACCAACCAACCAACCAACCAACCAACCAACCAACCAACCAACTGTCCCTTTTCTTTCAGCCGAGAAGCCTTTTATAATGCCCAGGCAGTTCTACGTCACGGTCCCTAGGTGGTCATCATTTGGGAAGGGTAGCTGGATTCTAATAACAGGTGCCAGTCCAGCATTAAGCTTGGCAGGGAGATGTTTATTTTTAAACCTTGTTTTCATCTTTTAAGGTTTCCTGACATGCTTCAAGTATAGGACAAGTGCAAGTATGATAACATACCTACAGGTAGGTTCAGTCCGGTATCTAACCACTAAATCTTAGGACCCAGTTCCTCAAAATACCCTTCTTACGAAAATCACGACGGAAGGTAACATTGAATTCAAATTACGGGCTCTGACGACAATGGTATGGCCACAGAAATAATGCAAAGAGTACGATCTCGGTCTCCATGAAAAACATTATCGCTAAAAGCTGAAAGGGGGATTGTACAAAATGCAAACTAATGGCACTGGAAGAATCCATGCCTCAGGTATATCTCTCATCCTCGTTGGAACTACAGGCTAACTCGTCATAGCTACGGGAAGTACGGTTATAACACGGTAATGAACCTTCGGGTTCCATAAAATACTGGGAAGTTCTTGAGTGGGGGCACATTTGGCGTCTTCTCAAGAAGGGCTCAGCTCCATGACGTTAGTTCAATTAGTTAAAACAAAACTCGGCGTTTAAGGGTTAACACTTGTTACATAGAACCCTGTTTAGAAAAATTTTAAATAAATATACGGACCTCTGGGGTATCTATCATGTCATATCGCAGGGAATTTTCTGAAAATTAAGTAACCGAAACACACAGCTAGTTACATTTGTAAACGACGCTGCAAAGATAAGTATGGTGCCTTCGTCAACAAATTCTGCTTTCACTTTCCAACTTTATAAAATATTTTTTGTTCTTGTCCTTTTAAATATCTAGCTCGAACATATGAACCGTTTTCTGTGAAATCAGGCATAGGAATCTTAATAGTATGCATCCGGTTGTGTTAAAAATAAGGTATATAAATGCATATAAAAGTATGCAGCCTGCACAATATTCTGTATTTAAAAACAAATTAGGCACTATTGTATCAACATTTGTTTTTACTGACGCTACATGTTTCGACCCTTACACTGGGTCATCATCAGGCGTACAATGATACCAGTCTAAGCTGTTGAATTGCATCTAACTCTTCAATATGGATAGGCACAGGAATTTACGTATACCCTGATTAATCCTTTTTCGGTTTGTGCGTTTTCGTATGCGCATAATGAAATACACAAGCCTACAAACGAATGCGTGAGAACCTCCCACCTCGACACACACAAGGGCGCCGTTTCACTATGCGAAATACATGAGGCGTACTCGCTTGTACACTGGTCGTTTCTGAAGCAAACAGAAAGAGAGAGACACAGCCATATCGAGTGTTCTCTTTGCAAATGCGATCTGAGGTTCATTTCCGAACAAATTAAGATTATGTGGTAACATCCGTCGTTTCTCAG